CAGAGGGGCTCCTACCCGGATGGCCCTCCACTGTCCACTTCTTCTGTGCCTGCACTTGGGCCACTGGGCCCAAAGCCTGCTACCAAGCAGCCTGGTCAGGAGCGAGAGTCCCAGGATGCCCAGCAAGCTACCATAGTGCTGCCAATCCCCACTAGCTCCAGAAGGCTGTCTTTGGTCGCTACTGCCACACTGCACCCCACCATAGCGACCGGCATCTGACAGCAGTGGACAGTGGGCATGGTAGCACATGCCTGTCATCACAGAACTCGGGAGGCTGAGGCAGGAGGATCACCACAGGTTTGAGGGTAGCCTGGGCTCTATAGTGAGTTCAAAGCCAGCCTGAACTACATAGCAAGACCCTGTCTCCAAAAAAAAGAGAAAGAAAACAGTGGACAGTGACATAGTAGCTGTCCTAGGCCCAGACTCCCCAGGATTGCCTGTACACTGAGCCCCCAGAACATCACAGGGCCCTCATTCCTGGCTCACAGCCTAGAAAGCCTGAAGCTGGGCCTTCACTCCAGTCCTGGGCAGGCAGCCCAGTTCCCCTTCTGCTCAGCCGGGGGAAAAGGGAGCGATGGCCTCTGTTCCTCATAGGTGGTTACCACTTCCTGCCGCAGGAAGCTGTGCTCCTGCCACCTCCCCGCAGCCTGCACCTGCCCTGGCCTGGGCAGTCTTGGGGCCTCCCTTCCCAGGGGCTCCATCCACTCTAGGCTACCGAGCAACAGCTTCTCCAGGTGGCTGCCACAAGCCAGAGTAGACAGCTGTTAGGCTTGGTGGCATGCAGGACAGGAGCAAGGTGGCCAGGCACTGTGTGCCTCAGGGAGGCAGGAGTGCCTGCACATGTGCACATGTGTGTAGAGTACACATGTGAGCACCTGTGACCTTCACTTGCAGGTCTGGAGAGAGGGGGCTTGTGAGGTGCTTTTGGCCTAGGACAAAACTCTCCCTCAGCTGTGTGTCACCCCTGCTACCAATGCCTTAGGAAGCTGCCACGTGCCCACAGTTTTTGTTTGTTTGGGGCAGGGACAGTGTCTCGTGTAGTCCAGGCCAGACTTCAAATCCCTATGTAGGCCAAGCCAGCCTGGAGCTCGGGATCCCCCTGCCTCAGCCTCCTAAATGCTAGGATTAGAAGCAATGCATCACTACTTCACCTGGCCTTGGATGTTCATAGAATTTTGTTTGCCAAGCTGGAGATGAAACCCAGGATCTGAACCATGCTAGGCAAGCGCTCTACCACTGAGCTACATCCCCAGGTGCCCACTGAGTCCTGAAGGAAGATCTAGGGGCTTCCCAGACCCCAGCTTTCAGACACTAATCTGTGAAACACCGATGTTGGGGTCCTCCACGCAAGCCTGTGTCCCACCCTTAGCCTAACAATAAAGGAACAGGAACCGGCCCAGGCCCCACATCCGGCTGCTTCCTGCCCCCTCTCTGAGCCCTGATTGGTTCCTAAACGTCCCTCTTCCACAGAGCCGGGTTCAGGGCTCCAGCACACAGGAAATGGCTGCCCAATTGGCCCCGGCCGCCACTTTCAAATGTTCTCCTCATTCAGCCCCTTCTGTGAAATCCTGAAAGGCTAAAAACAAGACCTCTTGTGGGGACAGCCCTGGATTCTAGGATTTGTTTGGCATCTGGGCCCCTGAATGGAGCCAAACCTTACCACTTTTCTACCTTTTAGCCCCATTGCTCCCCTTCCAAGATACTGGATGCTAGTTCTCTTGTGTGAGGTGAGGACCAGATGCGCAGGACCTTTCTAAATCTGTTGAGGCCGGGTGTGGTGGCGTGCACCTGTCACCCCAGTACTCGGGAGGCTGAGGCAGGAACATCACTGCGAGTTCAAAGCTAGCCCGTCTACATAGCGAGGCCCTGTCTCAAAAACAAAACAAAACAAAAGACACTAAACTCGTTGAGGTGGGTGGGGAGGTGAAGGGGCTATAGAAAGAATGAAGGCTCATCAAGTACAGGTACCAACATCCCCAAATGAATGCAATCATATACTGCAAACATGTGCTAATAAGATACTGGAGAAACCCATAGATATTTTTTAAAAACTATCCGCCAAAACTCAAATATATTAAAATAAAGATCCGTTGAAGAGTGTACACTCGGCCCTGGGGGGTGATCAAAGAGCTGGCAGGCTCGCGTTAGGGCCTGTGGGTGATGAGAGCCAGGAGCCAGGCAGCAAGGGCGCTGCTCCCCTCCGGTTTCCCCAGGTCACCCTTCCAGGGAGCCTCAGGGCCCGGGCTGTGCCTCCCGAATGTGCACGGATTCCAGCCACTGGCACAGCAGCAGAGGGCTCCTTTCCTAGCCTCGCCCTGGGGAACTAACAGCGGCCCCCGGAGGAGCCTGCTGCAGAAGGGGAAAGTGCTGAGCCCCAGGGCCAGGCGGGCCTGCGGTTTCCCCTTCCTTTTCTCCCCCATCTGTAGCTCTGACCTCCACCCAGGAAACCTAACCGCCTCGGGGGCGGAGAGGGCGGCCAAAAGCAGAGCATCTGAAGGGACGCAACGCGCAGGACACAGATCCGGCGGGCTGAAGGCAGGCCCCTCCCAGCTGCCGTGAGTTCCCCCTACCGGCGACGGGGCGCGGCCGACGCAGTGCGCAGGCCCGACTGCCTGGCCGCGCGGAATTCAGCCCCAGCGCCACCGGACCAATCAGAGCCTGGGAACCAAGCCCGCCGCGGCTTGTGAACCGGAAGGGACTGGAGCCAGGAGCAGTGGGCGGGACGAGTCGCCGCCTAGACCCATAGAAAGGAGAAGCCCACGATTGTAGCCAACCAGAACGCAGCCTCGCCCGAACCAACCAATCGGAAGGAAGACTCGCGCCGGCGTACCTTCCCTGCTCCGCCCCGCCGCGCGCTGGTCCCGGCCT